ACATTATATGTATGAATGGAAATGTTGTAATTAAACCCCTTACTTTACACATGGTAATTAGAAAGGAAAGAAGAATTTCAATAGATTCTGAAATAGAAACAGAAAATCAATTCTAAAGCTTTCAAGAGATGTTCAAAGCCAAAACAATCCTGAAAAATGCTGGAGGATTCATACTTCTTGAGTCAAAATTAGAATGTAATAGCCATCAAAACAGTGTGAAACTGGTGTAAGGACAGACATGCAAACTAATGAACTAGAATACAGCAGTTTCTATTCAAATAGTGATGAAAAGAGTGGGCATTTACATGCCACTCTGTATCTCACTCCACACTCTACTACTTGCTCAGTAGAAATAGACAACTTAAATGCTAAGAACTATAAAGCTCTCTGAAGAAAATAGAGAAACATCTCCATTATAGTAGATTTGGCAATGGTTTCTTGGATTGACATTAAAAGCAAAGGAAAGAAAAAAATTAAATTGGAGTCCATAAATATTGAGCAATCATATATCGGATAAGGGATTAATATCTATAACATATAAAGAGCTAAAATGACATAAGAAAAATATGAAGAAATGATAAAGGACTTGGATAGACATTTCTTCCAAGCAGATAAACAATTGGTCAGTAGTATATATAAGACAAGATGTTCACTATCATCAGTTGTTACAGAAATGTGAATTGAAACTACAAGGAAATAGCCACTTTGAGACAGACATGGGGGGAAGAATGGAGAAGAAGGAAGACTATAAGCCTTGAGGCCACCATGTGCTGCACAGTGAGTTCAAGAAAAGCCTGGGATAGACAGATAAATTCTACCTTAACACAAACAAAATAACTACTTTGCACCTATTAGGATGTCTATAGTTTTTTCTAAGAAGATGCAAATTAGCAAGTGCTGATGATATGGAAAGGTTGGGACCATTGTGCATGCCTGACAAGGATGTAAAGTGGTGCAACTGATATTGAACATTTCAGAAAGCTCAACATAGTGTGTACATAACCCAACAATGTTATTCCTAGGTATATAGCCAAAAGAATTAAAAGAAACCAGCATCTAAATAGTAGGTCAATATTCACTGCATTTTGATCTACAATAGTGAAGAGGTGGAAGCAACCCAAATGTCTATCAACAGATAAACAAAATGAAGTACATACCTACAATTAGATATCTGGCCATATAAAGGAATGAAATTCTGATGTGCTAAAACACACATGAAACCTTAAAAACATTTAGCTAAGTAAGACAGTACAAAAGGACAAAGTACAAAAATACAAAGGAGATATTGTATGCTCCTATTTTTATACTTCTAGACTTGGCAAATTATAGAGGCAGAGAGTAATGGGGGAAAGACAGAGTGTGAGAGGAAATGAACTGAGGAATAAGTTTATCTGCAGAGTGGTTTGATCTGCAGTGCTGACCAAAAAGCAGAGAGAAAGAAATACCTGCACTTAACTTTTTTCAGTCTGAGATTCCAGCCTAGAAAATGATGACACCCACACTTGGGGAGGTGCGAGTCTTCCCTCCTTAGTTAAATGCTTCCAGAGTGCTTTCTCCAAATCAAGTCAAGCTGACAATCAAGATTAGGCACCACAAATGTGCAGGCTAAGAAGGGGTGTGGAGCTTCCATGCTGTGTCTGGCAATGCCATTCTCCAGGAAGCCCTGTGTGTTTGGCTATCCAGAAACTGTCTGAACATTGTTCAGCGACTACTGAAGCACTGTAGAAATGTCACTGGACTAAGAATATGAGTAATGTGAACAGATGGAGTGGGAGAACTCAGCAGAGGCTGTCGGCTGCTTCTTCTTGGTCTTTGTGTGAAGCACCCCTTTCCTATGGGTATGGAGTGAGAGCTCTTCTGAAATGGGGATCTTACAATTTACTTGCAGACAAGTCATGTCAAGACAATTGACCTATGGCTACTTCCAAGGCAAGAAGAAGCTGATTAGTGTCTATTGTCTGCCTTGGGTAGAAAAGGAGGTAGTTGAAAGTCAGAGAAAGTTTTTTTTTTTTTTTTTTTTCCTTTTGAGGAAAAATCCTGTTTCTGATGTCTAAAGTACTCTAACATAAAAAGACATGCTTATTGTCTGACACTAATAATTCAGGAAATAACAAGGGCCAGTATTAAAAATGAACCAGAATTCATGGATAAAATGAAGACACCCCCCCACAATATTGTAGTCAGGATGGTACTGTCATAAGAATAGATGTGTAGACTGAGGTAACAGAAGAGAGAATGTGTAAATAAGTACAAATGTCTCTCTATGGATGCCAATAATGCATGTGAGGAAGGATAATCTTTTTCAATGAACAGGATGGGAAACTTAGATTTCCACATGCAAACTAATGAAATGAGACATGTATTTTCTATCATACATACATACACACACACACACACCCACCACCACCACCACCACCACCACCACCAACAACAACAATAACAACAAAACTCTCAAAGTGGATAAATCTACGTTCTGGAGAGACATATGAGGACAGCTACTTGACACAAGTTTTAGTAAGATTTTGTTCTTGTTTTGTCGCATCAAATATGTATACTATAAAACCAAAATGAACAAACTCAAAAGGCAAGAAAGGCAACCAAACAACTTGGAAAAAAACAATCTGCAAACCAAATATTTGATAAAGGGTTAATAGCCAGAATTATAAAGAACATTTACAACTCAATAAGCAGGAAAACAACAGACAGTAAAAAAATGACAAAGGACAAGAACACATATTTCTCCTAAGAGAAGTTAAACAAAAGAGGTGTATAGAAAGGTAGGTGGTCAGTTTCAGGGAAGTTATTCTGAGAATGTGAAGTTAAAAACCACAAGACTTGATAGGTGGTTACTATAAAAAAAGAAGTGAGAGTGTAGACGAAAGGGAACACTTGTTCATCATTGATGCAATGTGTGGAAAACAGTATGGAGATTGATAAGAAAGAGCAGCATGTAAACTCTACTCTGAGTGTATGCTGAAAAGAGGTAAAATCACACCTGTTCTAGCTTCCTTTCTGTTGATACGATAAAACACACTGACCCAAAGCAACTTAAAGGAGGAAAGGATTTATTTTAGCTTACAGCTTAACTTCTATCTCTGAAGGGTATCAGGGCAGGAATTCAAGCATGAACTCCTCACAGACAAGGAAATACAGTAAGAACCATGGGGAATACTCCCTGCTAGCTCAATTTAAAGCTCCATTCTTGGCTAGTTTTTGTATTCAGTCCAGAACTACCTGCCAAGAAATAATGCTGCTCAGAGTGGGTTGGGCCCTCCTGTATCAATAATAGTAAAAACCATCTCTTCCCAAAGATATGTTCCCAGGCTAATCTGATCTAGGCAATTCCTCAATGGAGGCTTTTTCTCAGAAGACTGTAGGCTGTATTAAGTTGACAAAGTGAACTAGGCTGTGACCTCATAAAGGTTTTTTGCAGAATATTCATAATAAATAGGAAATGGAAATGTCATATAGATCTGTGATGGCTAGCTTTAACTATCAACTTAATACAACCTAGAATTACCTGGGAAGAGAGTCTGAATGAAGGTTTGTCTGCATTGGGTTGACTTGTGGGCATGCCTGTGGGGAACTGTCTTAATTAAGTAAACTCATGTAGGAAGGACCAGCCCACTGTAGGAGGTACCAGTCCCTAGACAGGGGTTCCTGATCTATGTAAGATTGGAGAAATTAAGCTAAGCAAAAGCAAACAAGTATGCATTCATTACTCTCTGCTCATGACTGTGGATGATATGACTAGCTATTTGAATGAAGTTCCTGCCTTGACTTCCCTACAATGATGGGCTGTAACTCGGAATTATGAACTAAAATAGACTATTTCTTCCCCAATTTTTATCACAACAGAAATGAAAGCAGGACAGTATCCATTCATGATTAATGGATAAGGAAAATGTGGTATTTTTGTGTGATGAAATATTGATTAGCTTTAAAAAAGAAGACTCTGCCATTTGCTACAGCATGGAAAAAACAGAGGGAAATTATGCTAAGAGAAATATGCCAAAGAAAACATATGACCTCATTTATATGCAGAATTAAAAATATATAAATCAAACATATAAAAATATAATAACAATAAGCCAGCTTTGTTTTGGTATATCCTATCTCTCAGGGGACCTGGCAAGAGGATCATGAGTTCAGGGACAGTTTGGACTACACAGCAAAACTATGTCTTCAAACAACACAGAAAAACAAAGGACACATACTAAATGAACAAAACATCAAAACCAAACCAAAAACAGTAAGGCAGTTGCTGAAGTCAGGGACAGAAATAGGGGGACAAAGCCTAAGGATACAAGGTAGCAAGTGTATAGGTCTACACATCTAGGAATCTAGGGAATAAGAGAATTGGTTCAATAATGAGATTTTCCTGTTCTAAGACATTTTAGCTATTCTTACCACAGAAAAGTAACTACATAATGGACGATAGATAAGTTAATTTGCCTCATCACAGAAATAATTTACCACTTATATGTGTTTTCTAAACACAATGCTATAAACCTCAAATATACAAAATGAAATTTATTAAGAACAACAGAGTAGGCTAAAAAGATGGCTTTGTGGTTAAGAGCTCTTACTGCTCTTCCAGAGGACCTGAGTTCAGGTCTCAGCACCCACACTGGGTGGCTCACAAGTGTCTTTAACTCCAGTTCCAGGGAGATCTGATAGGCTCTCCTGGCCTCTTCTGTACCTGTGCACACATGGCATACACTCACACAGACACACATAAAAGTGATTAAAAATAAACCTAAATTAAAAAAAAAAACAGAAAAGACTGTAACCTTTAATTACATCATTGTTCTCCTTATCAAAGGAAAGCACAATTGATTATACAACAATCCTGGTTTTGAAGATGGCGCTGGAAAACAAACAAACTCCTCATCCCCCAGCAGGGCTTTACCAATTAGATGTTAATATTTTATGTGCTAATTTTCTTAGCTAATAAGATTTAACTTCAAAGTACTTTTTTTCTTTAACTAAGCACTCACTTTTTTGGTCAGAGAGTCATCAGAATCAGAAGGCATTCTTGTTGATACATGAAATATTACTTCAACTGTAGAGGTAGCAAAATATGGAGTGGTCAGTCCAGTGCTTTTGTTCTTCTGTAGTCCTCCCATGAAGCCACAATGATTTGTAAGATTTACCTAGAAACAATGAAGAATTACATAATCAACCATGATAACAAAAATAAACCCCTCAGAAACACTGTTGAAAAAGAAAAAAAAAAAAAACACTTTACAAAGACATTAGGAATAATGTCTTTTCATCTGCTATACTCATAGATCAATGCCTTGCTTAGCCATCATCAGAGAAGCTTCCTCCTGCAGATGGGAACAAATACAGAAACCACAGCCAGACATTATGCAGAAAATGAGAACCCTTGAAACACTAAGCCCTAAACAGATTGTCCCCATCAAGTCCCTTCCCTCAAGGCTCAGTGAAGCCCACAGAAGAGGAGGCAGAAACAGTGTAAGAGCCAGAGGGGATGGAGGACACCAAGAAAACAAGGTCCTTTAAATCAACAAGACTGACCCACATGTGAACTCATAGAGACTGAAAAAGCATGCACCAGGCTTGCATCAGATGGGGCCCTAGAGCTAGCTGAAAGGAGAAATGCGCATGTGGCCCCATCTCTAACTCAGAATCAATCTTCTACTGATACAACACTTACAAATGAAAATTTCATTTCCTCCAAGAAAGTCTCACTGGGGAAACAAACTATTCTTAAGGGTAGGCTGCATGGCCAGCAGTAAATGACCAAGAGAAAAAAACCTTTGGAGAGTCCATATCTCATAATGTTATGTCAGGAATTTTCCATCTTTTTTCCTTTTAAAAGTATTTTTGTCTTATTACTTTTCATTTTTACTTTATGTACATATTTTTTCTTCTCTTGTTTTACCCTACAGGTCCTTTTGACATATATTATAGCTTCCAGAGTGTGTGAATGAGTGAGTCTGTCTCTTGTGCCTTCTCTTAGGTTCTTTTCCTTCTGGTTTGTTTTATCTTATTCTGATGTGTTAGCTTTTGTTTTATTGTTATTATATTACATTTTATTATTATCCCCTAGAAACTTGTTCTTTAATGAGAGACAGAAAAAGGGTAGATCTGGATGGGAGTGGAGTTGGGGAGAAACTGGGAGGAGTAGAGTAAGGGGGAAACAACCAGGATACATTGTGAGAAAAAAAAAATCTATTTTCAACAAAAGAGGAAAAAAGGAATAAGGCCTTTTGTATGCTATTGGCCAACAGTAAATCTAGAATTACAACTGGCTGCTGTGTCTGTGGGGTCCACATCTACAGATTCAACCAACTATGGATTGAAAGTATTCAGAAAAAGATGAGCTTGTACCAAACAAGCACAAACTCTATCTCCTGTTATTAATATTTCCTAAATAATACAGTATGACAGCTATTTTATTTAGTTTCACACAGGGTCTCACATAGCCCAGAATGGCCTTTAAGTCCTGATCTCCTGTCTCCACCTTCCAAGTGTTGGGCTCAAAGGTAAGTGCTTCCACACATGGCCTGATATAATAACTACTTACATAATATATACATTTTATTGGGTATTGTAAGTAATCCATATATTATTCAGGAAAATGTACATTATGCTGTCATTTTATATAAAGGATGTGAGTACTGTGATTTTTAGTTTCTGAAGGAGATCCTGGAACCAATGTTCATATATACCAAAAGGCAATTTTATTAGAGGTGATTTGTTCATCCCAGTATTTTTTTAAAAACAGTATTTAAGGATATCTAATCAATAGGAAAAAGAAATTAGCTGTTGTTTATTATCACTAGGGGCTAACAGTAAACTATAAAGGCTTTGGGGGGACACTAAGGTCAGAGTAAAAGTCAAATCTGAAATGACTTGAGGAATGTTAAAACAATGTCAACTTCAAAAAATGATCAATTAGATGTCTCATATTTATTCATAAAACTGTCTTCATTGTCAGTATCCATTACAGCCTAGAATAAAAAAATGTAAAAAAAAATAGCAAAATTTAACTGCATTTCAAGAACATTTAAAAAACTATCAATTGATCTGTATGAGGATCTGGACACATTTTAAGTTAAATACAACATACAATATATATCAGTATCAGGGTTGTAGCACTGGATAGTTCCCTAGACCTATCTGACACACAGAAGGTAAGAGATGAAATCATTGGCTTTCCTGGCCTTCTCTGACACCATCTGATACTCCCTCAGTGTGAGGAGCTTCTCATTGCTGCCTTGTGAAGTCTAGGTTTCCTAATCTGGCCTTTGATGTATATAATGCAGTTTTTCTAGAGGCTCATTTCCTGGTTCTTTGGCCCTTATAGCTTGTCTATATGGTTTTAGCTTACTGGCTTCTTCAGCGGATCAACAGTGCATCCCCAATCTGGAAGCAGAGAACAATGAAAGCTGTGCTCAGCTTGCTTTCCCCTTTATTCAGTCTGGGACCCCAACCCATGGAATGGTATCACCCAAACTGAGAGTGCAGTTGTAAAGGCAGAAGTCAGTAAGACACAAGTGCCAGCCCTCTACAAGTTTACAGTCAAGTGCAATGGTCTTCAACAACTTTATCAGATACCCTCAATACAAATTGTATGAAATAATTGTCAACTCTAAGAAAAAGTTTCACTGTAAGTTTAAATGGCTACCAAGGTTATTATTTCCATGACACTGCTTTAAAGATACAGACATCCAAACCAAAGACACCTATTGAATCTGGAGATTGTGAATCTGGCTAGTTGGCTAGCTAGTGAGCAATCAGGATCTGTTTGTCTCTACTCTTTCAGTTCTGGGATTACAGATCCCTACCACTGTGCCTAGCTTTTACATGGTTGCTGGGGATCCAAACTCCAGTCCTCATGCTTGCTAGGTAAGCACTCAATGATCTACCTTCCAGGCCCTCTGTATTTATTTCTTAAACAGTATAGCATAGCAATGGAATATACAGTATTTAGACTACTTGGTATAAGTAACTTGGGTATGTTTTAAAGTATACAGGAGGATATGATTAGTTCAAGATGCAAGTATCCCACTATTTTATATAAGGGACTGGAACATCCTTGGATTCTGGTATCTGAAGGTTGACTGAGGGCTAAATATAAAATGATGGTTGGTATAACCTAAAAACAATACCTCCCAACCAAGACCAGCTACAAAATCTTCATATGCTTGGCTTCCTCCTATATTGGTGAGAATGGAGTATTTATCTTCTTGTCCTTCAGCAACATAAAATACTGCAATCTTGTGTGTCTCTCGGCTACAAAACAAAAGGTTATACCATTAATTTGTTTGCTTATTAAATTTTATATACAGAGTATATAGCAATAAGAATATGAAAAAGACTTAGATGCTATAGTCTACAGAAGGAGACAAATAATTGCAACATAAATAAATAAAAAAGGTGACAAAATTGTCACTGGACCAGAAGAAAGGCATGATTACTTCTGATTGGAAAAAATAATACTTAAAGTAGCAAGAAATGAGGTAAAGGTAAGAATTTGGCAAATAAAGACAAAGAATATGGGAAAGGACAGATATGTATGAATGCACGGATCATCTAAAGAGTTAGTCATTGTGCAGTGTGACTCTAGAACTGAGTAACCATCAGTAGGGCATGTATTCTCCAAAACTGCACACAACAACAGAACACACACACACACACACACACACACACACACACACACACCCCTACCTGTATAGGTTAACTGCTGGATTCCTGGACATTTAACTTTTAGTTTTCTTTGAATTTAAAAGTTTTCATAAAAGCAAACTTCTAATAAGTCTGGCAACCCAAGCTCACTAGACCATCTATGTTAGGTGAATGCTGGCAAACTTTAGGAAAACAAATTGGAAGGACTCATACTCATACTCATACTTCCTGATTTCAAAATTGGACCAGAAGTCAATTTTGTTGCCAAATTATATATGAATAAAAAAATAGACCACAGATACCAACAAACAGATACAAACAAGTATTTAAAACTGAAGTCTGCAGTAAGATTTTCCTACGTATTTTAAAAGTTAAGTCATGACTATGGATTTCCACGTCAGCAACAAAGGCGCTTCATTAAGTTTCTGAACTGCTGGCATTTATTTCACTTCAGGTGGGGAAGACGCAAGGACACTTTCTATATGCTCAACACAGTGCTAGCATAATCCAGTTTATCAAGTCAAATGTAATGGTGGGACCATGCGTGCTTCCAGAATTACAGAGTATGGATCTGGATGGCCTCTTTTTGCAAGTAAAACCCAATTTAACTGGTGAAAATCACTATGTTAAAAAAAAAAAAAAAAAACTAGCATTTTAAAAAATGTGTCCTAAAGGTATAAAGAAACAGAAAATCTACTAAATCTTGGTAAAAACAGAGTTACTAACATACAAACCACTTTTGTTTCCTTACACTCCAGCTTCTCAGCTCCAAGGTACCCAAGTTTTGCCAAGTTGTGCAGTGTGACTCTGCACAAGTATTCTATTTAGGCCTAGAAGAGAGAGGTTCCCGCTCCCTCTAGCTTTCAGTCTGGGGCTAAGGTTAGTAGTAGTAGTTATTATCATTTCCTATCTCCATGTTCCAGAAGCTCTGGCCTATATCTTCTGCTGTTTCTCCAGCTCCCCATTCTTAGCACAGAAGCTCTAGGCAGAAAGCTGAGAGTCTCTTAGCACAGAAAGGCTGAGAGTCTCAACATTCTTCCTTCCACCTGTACTTGGAAGAGAAGAGTGGAAGTCCTGCTCTGAGTAGTAAGCTAACAAGGCTAGGGATTCCCAACCCTTCTCCAAGTGCCCAATTGCTGAATATGGGTATCATTCTAGGCAAAGCTAGGCTCTAATCTTAGCTCAGGTATAGTGGTGCACAAATGATGCCCAGGGTGAAAGACAGGTTTCAAGGACAAAGACTTAGTCCTGCCTGAGAAGAACAATTATTTGGACCAGAATTTGGAGTAAAGCATTAAACCAGCAGCTCTGACACGTGAACAGCAAAAGCAGTCAGAAATTAGCAAGAACCAGGAAAGAGAGACTAAGAACTGCCTGGGATCACAGTCAATTCTGAGTCAAGAAGCCTGTGCATATGCACTAGGCTGTATTTCAGAGCAACTAGAGCAGCAATTCTCAACCTGTGGGTCACAAGTTTTGAGGACATGGAGGTCACCTAAGACCATAGGAAAACAAAGATATTTACATTATGATTCATAAGAGTAGTAAAATTACAGTTATGAAGTAGCAACAAAAATAATTTTATGGTTGGGGGTCACCACAATATGAGGAACTGTGTTAAAGGTCTCAGCATTAGGAAAGCTGAGAACCACTGAAATAGAGTATGATGACCAAAGAATCTCACAGGCACTGTGTAATATCCATAACTCTGGGCCAACTCTAAGGAATCTAAGAGTTAAGAATGATAATCACTACTTATATGTCTGGAAATCTGTGTACACCCTCAAGGCTATACATATTTTGGAATGGTCAGAGAGTAAACCTTTAAGCTACTGGTCTCTGGATGAAGGACAGACAAAAACAGAAACATTTTGAATTGTGGTGGTAGCCTCCAAGCACACATAACCAATAGTAAATAACAAAAATATCATTAGCTTAGGAAGGTTGTATTCAAGTACGAATTCTGAGTCATAAGTGATGTAAACCTAGGGAAGATACCCCACCCCAGGGAATGGTCTACCTAAACAAGAAAAAATAAGTTTAAAAAATCTGAGTAGGAGGCCGGGTGTTGGTGGTGCACACCTTTAATCCCAGTACTGGGGGGTGGGGGGGGAAGCAAAGGCAGGCAGATCTCTGTGGTCTACAGAGCAAGTTCCAGGACAGCCTCCAAAACAATACAGAGAAACTCTGTCTTGAAAAACCAAAACAACAACAACAACAAAAAGCGGAGTAGGAGATTAGAGGCTCACATTGTTTAGAAATAAAGCTGCTAAGAATTAAATGTCCAAGAATTACCACTAACATACTTAAACTATATTTATTATTTTTATGTGTGTGGATATTTTTTGCATGCATGTTTCTACACCATATGCGTATAGTGCCCAAGGAGGCCAGCAGAGAATGCTCCTGGAACTAGAGTTCCAGCCATGTGGGTGCTGTGAACTAAACCTGGACTCTGGGCAAGAGCAACAGGTACTCTTAACCTATGAAGCCTCTCTCCAGCCTCCACTAAGCTTCTAATTCAAATCACAGATAAAATTGAAGACAAAATGGGAAGACACCATGCAAACTGTGAAAGAGAGCTGAAATGATCCTACCAATGCCACACTAACATATTAACCTCAAACAACACAGAAAAAATTTGTGAAACCAGGCTGTTTAAGATAGCCAACCAACTTTTCTTAATCTTTTTATCTAGATGGAAAAAAAAAAAAAAAGAATCCTGAGCATGCAAGATGGCCCAGTGGTTAAAAACACTAGCCACACAAGTCAGACAACCTGAGTCTAGTACTTGGAACCACAGAAAGGTAGGAGAGAACGGACTACCACAAAGTTGTCCTTTTATCTCACTCACTGATCTCTATCTCACCTTTACCCCTGATTTCCAAATTACACTCTGAGGTTCTGGGTAGACAGGACAATTTTAGAAGGCATTATTACTTAGTACAGTACAAAAATATTTGAGTATTTCCCTTAAAAGATATACAAATGACCATTTTAATCACTGAAAAACACCCCTTAATATATGGCAAATCAAAAAATCACAAGATCTGACTCCCTATTCTACTAAGCTGAATTTAAAAGACAGGCGGTAATGAGGGGCCATGACAGAGAAGGTAGAGCCTGCACACATGGCTGGTAAGGATCAGAAATGCTGCAGCTGCTATACAAATCAGGTTGAGTAAGGTTGGCACTTACTCAACATATTAAATGAAAAGCAACTCTAAAATTGGATTGTACTGATGCTTATTCAGTAAACATTATTATTAACATTAGTAAATAACTGTATTTCAATATTGGTTTGTCAATTTTAAAGCTGCACACTAAGACAAGAAGATGTCAATAACAAGAGAAACTGTTGAGGCAAGACACCAAATGGAAACACTTTCTACTTGGTTATCAATTTTATTTTCAAACCTAACACTGCTCAGATATTAAAATATGCTTAAACTAAAATTAAATTTAGTTAACTGGCTAAATTAAGAAGGTCAGCAGTGGCTTATGGCAAGGCTTTCCAGAAACACTGCTACTTAAATTGGGACTTGAAAGGGTGGATAGATGCTATACCTTTAGCTAGAACTTACAGTCTGGGATTATTTCATTGTTAATAAAAAACAAAACAAAACAAAACAACAACAACCAAGAAAGATAAAATTAGTTCTGGGTATAAGAAAAAGAAAACAATGCTTATGAAAGTGTTAAAAATAACAGAACAGAAATGAATGAATTAGAAACAGAACATAGGAACTGAAGAGGGAGCTCAGCTGGTAAAGTACCTGCTTTGCTGGCACAGGACCTGAATTTGATCCCCCAAACCAACTAAAAAAAAAAGAGGGAGATGTGGTGGTGTGTACTTATAATACCAGTGCCCGACTCGGGAAATGTCCAGAGATCTACTAGGATGACCCCAACTAACAATCTAAGCAATAGGGGAGAGGCTACCTTAAACGCCCTTCCCCTATAATGAGTTTGATGACTACCTTAAATGCCATCCTAGAGCCCTCGTCCAGTAGCTGATGGAAGCAGAGGCAGAC